TCTTTACTCAGAAAACTCATAGGTTTCTCATGTAATAATTCTGAACGGATTTCAAATCTGAGGCGAAATACATGGGTTTACAGACGAACCCCATGAAAACAATACCAGAAACATAGCCTTTACGGCAAGCCCTTACAAAGCACCAGATACTTTGCTAAACACTTTACATCATTATTCTATTTAATCTTATCCCCCTATGAAAGGGGTATTATCCTCATTTTATAGAGAAGGAAACAGAGGCTTAGGGCAGTTGAGGTAATCTATCTTAAGACAATACAACGAACATTAGATGGCAGCATCAAGATTCTAATCCTGGCCTGCCCTCAAAACCCTTAACCACTGTTATTAACTACCACCTTTCACAGAATCCATGATACACTATTATTGTATGTACCACTAAAAATAACAAAAATGCTGACACTTGTGCCACCCATTGAAATAAGACCAATCCAGATATTAACTTGTGAAGAAAAGGGGGTAGGCGTAGGGGATGGGGGTGTGGTATCTCAGAATCAATAACACATAAAATCATTTTATACTGCTTCCAGTACAGTGCCTTTCTTTTTAAATTAATTAATTTGTTTATTTTTGGTTGCATTGGGTCTTTGTTGCTACACGCGGGCTTTCTCTAGTTGTGGTGAGTGGGGGCTACTCTTCGTCACAGTGCATAGGATTCTCATTGCGGTGGACTCTTTTGTGGTGGAGCATGGGCTCTAGGTGCATGGGCTTCAGTAGTTGTGGCTCGTGGGCTCTAGAGTGCAGGCTCAGGAGTTGTGGCGCACGGGCTTAGTTGCTCCGTGGCATGTGGGATCTTCCCGGACCAGGGATTGAACCTGTGTCCCCTGCACTGGCAGGTGGATTCTTAACCACTGGGCCACCAGGGAAATCCCTACAGTGTCTTTCTGAAAGAAGTAACATGTATGAGCTAAATGAAGAATTGAGTATCACTTAGTTCTGGGACACTCTAGAAAACAGCTCCCTTAGGCCATACAAAAATATTTTTTTCTAATGCTTAAGCATACTCAGAATGTATTTTTAATTAAATCATTTTATATCCTCCCCGTTGTCACCTCATTGGAATATTGATAACTATGTGTTGCTACTAACTTTTAATTAGAGCTATTGAGAGGCACAGACAGTAATAAAAGCTCAACCTGTCTAGTCTGAGGACTCAGAGGTGTGAATTAACAAAGTAGGAGCTAAGTCTTCTGCCGATACCAGTAGCTCAACCTCAGGGCACCAAGAAAGTCTTCCTTCATTCCCTTTTTATTCATTTGTCAGGTTCCAAAGCTTTGGCTTATTTTTATTACTGCCAGCTACTTATTCCACCTGGCCTTTCTTCCCCCTCAGGCTAACTGTGAAATGCAGTTTTTCTAATTTCTTAAGAGTTCTTCCAACAGTCCTCTGTACTTCTCTTTTCACTTTCAAGATTTTATTGCCTTCTTTTCTTAAAAACACTAGTCATTACAGAAGAAAGAGATAGGAGTAAGCTTTAGAGAAGTTAAAACAGTTCAACAAAAAGGTGAATTGCTCAGACCACCCTTTCTAAATATTTTCAGAGTCATTATGTATTTGTTGGAGTGGGTGGGGTTCATCACTGTTCTACATAACCTACTACAGATCTCTTAATGACTTTGATAGCAAGGAACAAACATTAATGAACTAGAAGGCCTTTCAGACCTCTGAGGGATTTAAATGTACACGTGAGGCAAAATAAAACAATATATAAAAGAAAAGTGGCCCCTGTATTCTCTTTGGCTACACTCGGCATGGGAATGGAGGGATACAAACCACACACAGAGCTTTGGTGCAGTTGTGAATCTGTAATACAGCATTATGTATGACGACAGAACATGTAAGGGAGAGGGTATATAAGACTGCAAATCTGGAAATGGGATGTAAGCTAAGCCTTGCATTTTATCTAAACACCTTACTTTAGGTCTGGTGAGAGAGAACATGGTATGTGAGAGGTACTAAAATGACCCCAATTTTCCACCTCTACCATTTTGCTCTCCCAGTAGAGGTAAATGCTGGGAATTAAGCCTGGAGAGACAAACAAGTATTAGGTCAAAGAGGTCCTGTTAAGGCACACTGAAGATAGACTTCAACTTAAAAGCAACTGAGAGCCCTTGAGGAGTTTTAACAATGACCGACCTAAGTTTGAGAAAGATGACTTGGATGCACTGCAGAGACTGAATTAGGAAACGGGGGAAAATGAGATCAGGAGACCAGTTACAGAAGCTGTTATGGCAATCCCAGGCAAAGATGGGGCCTGAATTTAGGTACTACCTGTGGAGGTAAAATTAAATGAACTGGCTAGGAGATTTTTAAGGGTTTAATGACTAACTGGGGTCAGAGAGTGAAAGGAAAGAATTTAAAATGAATAATTTCTGGCTTGGGCAATTGGGAAGCTGGCAAAAACAACAGCTTAGATTCTGATAATTAAAGGGTGAACTAGGAGGCTGTTATTTCTAAGGAGAGAGAGGTTGGTGGCCTAAATAAGGGATTAATAATAAGTGGATGAATCTGAGAGATATTTAGGAAGTAAAATCAACAAGACTTGGTAATTACCTGGATGTGAGGTATGTAAGAAAAGGCAGGAGTCGAAGATGAGACCCAAGTTTCTGGCTTGAATTCTGTGGATGGTCACTTTGGTAGACTGTTTAATGGGCATAATAAATTCCTCCTACCTTGATATGTACACTTCTTTGCAATGTGACTGTCACTCTTCTCAAGCAGAGATGGAGTCCATATCCCCACCCCTGAAATCCAGGCTGGTCTTGTGACTTGCTTTGACAAACACTGCGATGTGAAAGTGACGTATGTGATTTCTGAGGCTAGGCTTTAGGAGGCATTGCAGCTTTTGCTCTGTAGGAGTGCTGCCCTGAGACTGCCACGAAAAGAAGTTGGTCTGGCCTACTGGAGAATGAGATGTCACATGGATGGGAACCTAGCTGACAGACAGCACCACTAAGAATGAAGCCATCCTGTACCCTTCAGTTCAGCTGACCTACTGGCTCAGCACAGCTGCGTAAATGAGGCGAGAGGAAATCAACAGAGGAACTGCTCAGCAGACACACAGAATTACAAGAAATCGTTATTTTAAGCTTTGGGGGTGGTTACACAGCCACAGATAATGAAACAGTTAAAGAGAGTGAAATCAGAAGAAGGCAACTTGAAATGTTATTCTTTTTTATCTTTTCAAGGTGGTGAACTCAAATTACCTAAGACTGACAATAAATTCTTGAGTACGAAGTTTAGAAAGGGGTCTTCCAGTAATTTCTAAGGCACCAAATGACTGAATAATGGAGTACTGTAAAGCTAATTAGAGAAGTAAAGAATCCACCTTTTAGGCAAGGTTACAAAAGGAAACAGGTAGGATCTTTAAACTCCTTGATGAAAGAAAAGCCCAGGTGTTTGTAGGGGCCTTCGGTATAGACCCTCACTCCTCCAAACCTTGGATAAATTAATTAAACCAGGTCTCTAGGAGAATACTTCTCAGCAGGCTCAATACAGAGAACTCCTGAAAAATTAGGCTGATAAAAGACACTCGTAAAAACTCCAACCATAGTGTATATTAAACAGTTTTATTATTCACATAAACATGGACTAAAAACTTCTAAGGAGAAATTAACAAACAGTAAGTTGTTTGTGAGTGAATAGGAAAATAAGTAGAATTTAGCCTTTCCCCATTGAAAGATAAAGAACGCATCTGTTCTGTTAATGGATAAAAACGAAATAAAAAAAACTTGGTTAAACACCGTCCGATTTTAAACGAGATGAAAGCTATCATTTTAGAAAATCAATGTCAAAAATAAATTATGCTTTAGTATGGAATAGCTTCTTTTATTGCAACAATGTTGTTTAAAACCACAAATGGCACTGAAGTGTACCCAGCAGCATATGAATTCCACAGAACAAGGCTGTCTAAAAGTGACGTACAGAGACCACAAACAACTGACAGAAAGAAGTAAAACGGAAATGTACCCTGGACCAAAGACCTCAGGGCTTTAAGATTTGGGAGCCTTGCCATAGGAACGATAGTTCCTTGCATTTCTGCCAATTTAAAAACAATCTTCATTCCTGTGCAAAACTTAGTGCCTTTTTTTCCGTTCACGGTGTGTCTTACAAATTGTACTCAAGATAGTCTAAAGTCAGGAGAAAAAACCGCTAGAAACCCGGAACAGGGAAAGATAAGTATCAAACGAGGTATTAAGCCACGTCGCACTCTGGCCGCAGCAGTCGCTGAGGAAGCCCTATCCTCCCACCCTTTTCAACTGTGGTTCCCAAACGGGACCGAATGTTCTGTCTTCCTCGGCGCAATCCCTCCCACTCGCCCTGGGGCTGCAGCGGAGGTGACCTCCACTCACCGTTTGAAGCACAGTCACCAGCAGCAGCCGCAGCCCAAAAGCCGGCAAAAGCCACCCATCCAGCCCGGCCGCCATAGGTGCCATCTTCCGTAGGTCTCCGGCTGCCCCGAGGACCCCTCTGCTCGGGGCGTCTACTCCAGAGCCTAATCCAAAACAGGCTGCTAAAGGCGGTTAACATCAAGTCTCTTATTCTGCAGGGACGGGTGTTAACTAAGGGCATATAAAAGCTTAAAGGTGAATAAATACCTTTACATTTGATATAAATATGAAGTCGCTGGGTCCTTTCGATAAACCATATCAGGCATTTTCCTAGACTCCCCAAATCTGTGCTTCCCCGGGCTCTTTCCTTTCATTCACGACATTTCCTCAAGCTGCCAAGAAGCCCCGCCTTCGCCAGTTTCGGCCTGCCTCCTTCTCCAAGTTTACCCAATCGAATGCCGCTTTGGTTGACACCTTAGGCAAAGGAAACCAACCATGACACGGGCCAAGAGCTAAGCCCTGGGGTTCTTCGGTCCAATAAGCACAAGCGAACGGGAGCAGTGGGCGGAGCCTCTGGTTGCTGAGCAGCGTACGTGGATGCGTGCGCGTGGTGGCCGAGGGGGATGGGAAGGGGGCGGGGTCGAGGGCGGCGCAGCCGCAGCCGCAACGTAGGAGCGCGCGGCCGCGAGCAAAGGAGGGAGGGAAGGAAGGAAGAGAGGGAGGCAGGCAGGCGGGCGCGGGGCTCGGGGACTGAGGCGGTAGAGGGAAGCGAGAGCCCGGCAGCCGCTTCGCGCTGTGTTTGCTGCGCGGGCTTTTGGAGGGGCGGCCGTGGAGTCGGCCGAGGAGAAGCGGACACCGGCGGCGTTGGTGTTGGCGCCTGGGGGCGGGGGACTGGGGAGGCGAGAAGGGGGGTCGCTGCGGTGCTTCTCTCGCTGTCGCGCTCTCCTTGCCTTTCTCCCGGCTCGGTGGGCTCCTCCCGGCGTCTCCTTTGCCTCCGGGGCCCCGATCCCCGCCCCCCGCGGTATGTCTTGATCCCGAGCAGCGGGTTTCATGGGGCTCCTCAGGATTATGATGCCGCCCAAGTTGCAGCTGCTGGCGGTGGTGGCCTTCGCAGTGGCAATGCTCTTCTTGGAGAACCAGATCCAGAAACTGGAGGAGTCCCGGTCGAAGCTAGGTGAGGAGCCGTGCCACTCTGGGCTGAGTGGTGTGTGGAAGCGGCCGGGCCAGGGAGGCAGTGCTACCCGAGGAAGTGGGCGTTTGTCTAACCTGAGATCTGGCTCCTCGGCAGAAGGCTGAAAGAGGTTGCAAAGAGAGATGGGACTAGGGGCATCGAGAACACAATCTCCAAGAATGGTGTGAATTAAGCTTGGGTGGTATGCTGGGCTCGCGAGGTCACGGGGCAGAGGTTGCAAGGTTGGGCTTCCCGGAGCCAAAGGGTTACCCTGAAGTAGGCATTCCATGGGGATCAAGAGCAAGATAAGAGCGAACTCATTGGGGAGCGGGTACTGACTGTTGGAGGAGACAGAAACGCTCAGGCTTACGTGTTCTCTTAGAAGTCGTACAGAAAGCCTCGGCAGTGTCAGGCGAGGGGTATTCTAATTTGAGATGTGGGCACCTGGTTACGGAATCTTTTGTGGATGGGGAGGTTCGCGAAGGGATAGATGCGCAGAAATGGAGGGAGATGCTGGAATGACGGTGAGTAAAAGAAATACACTGTAGTGAGTTGCACTCTTGTGCTGGGGGCAGCAAGGGACCGCACAACTGACGAGAGAAATAGGCTGTCCCCAGGTAGGACAGGAAAGCAACTATAAAGCTTCCGTGAGGTACTGAAACGAGGCATCCAAGCATTTAAATTCTTTTTTAGCGGCGCTAAACTGCCATATTTTGAGCTTAAGAATAGGGATGTGTGTGTACGTTACTTCGCGGCGATGTTGGTGTAGTGAATTTAGGAGGAAAGGTTGAAGGGGAATTGCTTTAGTGAGATTTAAGTTTATGAAAGGAAGAGTGCAAAAAGTTTACCATAGGTTAAGTACCTTAAAGAGTTAACAGTGTTTACTTTAATTACGGAAGAGGTCTGAAGTACAAAAAGTTGGAGTGTGATGTTGTGAAAGACCCGAAGAATGCACAGATAATAGGTACTTTCAGATTAGTAGGGAACTTCGGCGTTTGGGAAGAGCTCGGGGTGGGGAGGGAATATTAAAAGAATGTCAGCAGTACATTTTGATTTAAAAACGTACATGGCACTGAAAAATCAGCTCAGGAGGCTGTAATTTGAATGTGGAAAAGTAATGTGAAGTATTTTTATGCGTACACTTTCACCTCAAAATCATTTAAAATACTTTTCAAAATGCAAATAATGAAATACCAGCAGCATTATAATTTAGACTAAGAAGTAACAGATGCTGCTGTGGGTGATGATTAATATTTAGGAAAAAGTATCAGAAAATAATTGAAATATTACAAATAGTAGCTGACTATTTGCAGTTTTGATAGACTTTGCTAAAAGCCTTGGAGACATTTTAAAGAGCAGTGTATCAAAGAGAATCAAATAAATCTAGCTGAAGTGCAAATAAATTTGAAGAGGAGCTAGGAATAATTCCACTCCTCAACTCTAGGGTAGAACTTGCCCTGTACAGTTTCGAACAGATATCAAATTTATTTACTATGATTTTATTAATATGAGTCTTGTATGATGGAAAAATATTCACTTTAAATATTGAAGGTTGGCCAATATACTCTTTTTGTTTGTATCTATTTAGCAGCTTTGAGCGTCATATTGTAGCCTGATTAATGATCCAGCTTTACAGAGAAAAAAATGACTCCTCTTAAAGAAAGTTGAAAGTTACATTAAATTAAAATTTGTATTAATTCTTCGTTGTGTTGCTCTTTGAATTTCTTAGACACATTACAATAGGTTGGGATAATTCAAATTTTAATTTTCCTTTGTTGCCTAACATTTTTTTTCCATAATGCTTGAAAGTGTTTTCTGTAGGCACAACCTTAATGATTTTAAAAAGAGTTATCTGAGGATGTAGAAAGCCACAGGTAGTAGTGTTTTTTCATGATTTTTTACAGGAAAGGAACCTTTATATTCCATTAGAAATAGTAAATATGGATTAAACTAAATAATTCTCGAAAAGGAGCCTCAGATACAAAACACTAGGAGGAGCTAATAATGGAGATTCAAAATTATGGCAAATAAAATATATAACTTCATATCAGCAGTCTTTTGATTAAAAAAAAGTCTTATGAAACAGGCAGTACTAAAACAGATGTTGTCAGTTAGTAATCTTTTTTTAGGAAAGGAACACAGAAGGAGGCATATTTTGACAATCAGACTCTGTACTAGACACTTTAATATTTGATATTCTTATTTAATCTTCCAAGAACACCATAGAAAGCCATTTTTACAGATGCGGGAACAGGTTCAGAGGTTATATAATTTGACCACATAGATAGTAAGTGGCAGAGCCAGGACTGGAACCCAGGTATGTCTGATTCCACATCAAGTTCCCCTTTAATTATACCAGGCTGCTTGGGACTTTATATTGACATTACACTAAGATGTAGCAGTTTGAATAGAATTTTTAAACTGTAATACCAATGTTTAATGGCATTTATTGCTAAGAATGAATGTCATTCTTAGAAAATTCAATTTCTGACACAAAGGAATTAGTTTAGTGTAATGTATGTTGCTTTATACCCGTGTAACGAACATAATTATATTACCCAATGAAAGGACTGAAATAGCTTATTTCTGCTACAGGGGACAAAAAAACTCTGTGGTGGTTTTCTGTAAGTGGTAAAATCACAACATTAAAAGTATTTTTGTTTTGGCATCAGAAAAACTTAAACACACATCACTTTTCAGAAACTTTTGTGGTGTCATCTGTCACAGAATTTTGACTTACAGTGTAGTCAAATTTATTAAACTTTGCATTTATGGCTTAAAGAAAAAGTTAAACATTTTGCTCTTAAAAGTTTTCATTGTTTATCTTTTCTGTTATAGAAGATTCCAAAGGATTGCATTTTCTGATAATGCTTTGTATGCATCTTGGTTTCAGAATATTTTGATAGTGAGATCTCTAATAGAGCGATAGTTGTATTCAAAACTTAGGTGTATTCATTGACCACTTGGGACGTTAAGTATATAAACAGGAATTCCTAAAAACCAATGTCACATAATAGAGTTTTCTTTTATCTTTTTTTTTTCAACGAATATTGGATGGCAGTATACACGTTACTTTGCATCTTGCTTTTTTCATTTAATATCATAGAATATCTTTCCAGGTCAATAAATATAAATTTGACTTACTCATTCTAATAGCTGTATAATATTCCATAGTATACATGAATCATAAATTCTCCAGCCATTATGCCAATAATGAACATTCAGTTTATCTCTCCCCCCGCCATTTAAAAAAATTTTTTTTTACCATTTTCTTTCTTGGTATTATAAACAATGTTATAAGAAACATCCTTATATAAGTTTATTTAACTCCTTATTTGTTGGTACTGTTTTCAGTAGGATAAATTCTCCTGTTAAGGGATTACTGGGACAAAAGATGTATGTATTTTATAGTTTAACAGATCTTAAAATCTGTTACTTTCCAAAAAATTTATTTCCCAAGGGTTACAATAATCTGCACTGTCAACACATACAAGCCCTGGATGGGATGCTGTCAGCTTTAAATTTTTGCCACTCTGAAGCTGTGAAATGGTATGTTGTTGCATTGGTTTACATTTCCTCAACTTCTAATTAGGTTGAACATTTACTTGTTCATTTTCATTTGTCTGTTGGGTAGTAGTTTATCTTACCAATTTTTAGGGTTTTAAAAATATATTAGAAGTATTAATCTTTTATCTGTTTTATGTCTTGTATCTGTTTTTCTCCAGGTCTGTCATTTGTCCCTTGATTTTATGGTATATTTTGCTGATACAGAAGTTAAAACATTTATGCAGTCAAATCTATGAATTTAGGCAAGTAGGTGCCTTACATTGCTTGAGAAGACTTCCCCCAACCAAGATTATGTTCATTCTCTATATTTTGTTAGTATTTTATAACTTTTATTTTTTACATTTAGCTCTTTAAAGCAGTCATATGTTTATTGTAATTTCTCTCAGTGAATGGCCACTTATGGCAAATATTATATTAATAATTTATCTTTTTTCCCCACTGTATGTTACAGTTCTTCTTTTAGTCGTATATTACGTTTTCATATGTTCTTGGATTAATTTTGGACTCCATTTTTTTCCACTAATCAGAGATTCTTTAGATCTTAGGGACCCATATATAGGCTTCAAGGCATCCATGAATTCCCTGAAATTATATACATAGCTTTCATCAGATTTGCAAAGGAGTATGCAGTCTCCTTAATGGTAAGAATCACTGATTTGTAGTAGATGGTTTATATTTAATGGAGTAAGTGCATTTTTTGTTTTTAATATTAACATACTACAACATGCAACTTGTGAGTTAAATTTAGGATACAAGCACATTAGTTATGAACAATTTCTCTGGGGTGTTATACTGAAAAAACTTTGTTAAAATGTATACAAACTTAATTTTTCTAATGAGGTACAGTCTATAACGTGGAGTCAAAATGAACACTGTCACTTAGGTTACTACTTAGTTGCTTAGCTGTTACTTAGAACTCTGCACGTCAGAATTTGTTGCTTTTACAAAGTAGTTCTTTCTGAATCTTGAGAACACACTGTTGCTAATGCTGACTGGTGGAACCGTCAATGAAACCTTTGTTATATAAATGTAAGAATTATGTGCCTGATAACTTTATTTTCTATACGGCCTAAGCATTTAAAATAATATTTGTTGTTCATATGCTTATAACACAACTAAATAAATTTATGAATGCATTAGGACATAATGTTTTAAATGAGGACAGTAACTCAGAATGGATATGTAGGCATCTTCATTGGTTAAAATTATGTTAATCCCTATGTTCTTAAAACCCTCCTAAACTAATGAACTAACTCCAGGGCCAAGGTTGAGACTGCTGTTTGGAATTTGGTAGTTTTTACAAGTGCCTGAAACCATACATACCTGTAAAATGTTCCCAAGAATGATAGATTTCTCTACTTATGAAATTGTTTGCAAACCTTACAGTAGTTACTGTTTAGAGGACTTATGGTTTAATTGGAATGCAGTTATTCTAG